TTCTTTTTTTTTTTTCTTTTTTATAAACAAACAAAGCGGACAGACTCAAAGTTTTAAATTAAAGGTCGGAGGAGGGTGCAACAGCTGCAATCATAGTCACTTGATTCAGTCATTTTGCTTTGTGTCAGTTCAGGTGAGTAAGTGTCATTTTGATTGGTCAGTTGGTGGCCCTTGTACTTGGATCAAATTGTAAAAAATGAACAGTGTTTAAAAGAAACAAAAATCACACTACTTGTGATTTGAAATAAATATTTTATGTAAAGACTTATAAATCAACAAGGGCCACTCACTAATAAACATTCCCTGTTTTGAAAGATTGGATTCACAGGCTGTTCTATAAACTCTCGCTGTAACACAAAATAGTTTATAAGACATGAACATGTCCAGCAGAATCCTGGACTGTCAGGTGATTAATTTGCTGATGTTGCTATTAAGGTTAATAATGAAATGTGCAGATGGCTTAATTAGGTTTTGAAGTAAGTTCTTCCTAAATCAGTAAGTATATGACACATTGATTGCCAGAAGCAGTTTTGCCTTGAGATGCGTGCTGTTCAGGACACTGTCTCCTTTGTTTTCTTCCAAACCAGTTCTTTCAGGGAAGCTTAATTGTATTTCTGCAAATATTTAACTGTTCATTTCATAGAAATTAGTCATATAACTGCCTTGTAAACATGCAGTGAGCAGGGATGACTCAATTTTCTTTAGGAAACCTACCTCCACCTGGCTGCAATCGGGCCTGTGATGTTTTTGTTTGCCTTTTGTTCTGTTGTACATATTGTACAGTTTTTGTTCAAGTGTACATTTAATATTGTAATATAACTTATTTTAGTCTTATTCATTCTTTGTTGTGAATGCACTTTTTTTTTTTAAATAAAATTTAAAAGTGTAAATTAGAGATGAAGTTTTTTGCGTGGTAATTTATTATGTGTTGTCAGAGCACTTACAAGAAGGGACAATGGGGAAAACTGTGACATGCTATTGTCTCTTACAAAAAACAAGTTGATCAATATACCTGAAACTTTTTATCGCCTAAGAGAACATATCTATTCATACCCATTAGCATGGGCTCATCTTTTATTGAAAATGACAGTCCTGCCCTGAAAGTGCCCTGGCCAAGTAATATAGTAAAGTCTGTGGAAGTTGCATAGTAATACACATATACAGCAAAAATGCACAAGTATAGATGATAAAGAATGAAATATTTGTCAGGTGGTTCCCGGGGAAAGGGAGAGTAAATTTGACTTCCAAATAAATCTGGAAGTCATCTGCATAAACATGGAAACTCAAATGATGCTTCTAGGACAGGGGTGTCAAACTCATTTTAGATTGCGAGCCACACATAGACCACTTTGATCTTAAGCAGGCTAGACCAGCAAAACTCTTGTTTCTGTCGGTGTCAAGAAGCCTTTTTTTTTTTTTTTTTTTTTTTTTTT